CGGAGCTGCGGGTATGAGCTGTGCCTGACGGGAGGCTCGGGGGCCGGCGAGTTCAAGTTCCTGAAGCCGATTGTCCCCAACTTCCCGCCTCAGGGCACCGGGAAAGAAATAGAGGGAAATTCTACCTTTCACGATAGCTTTGGGTTCCATATTCAGTGATCATGTTTTATTTTAGACTTCGTATTATTTTATTTTGTGACAGTTCCAAACCAATATTTATTTACCTCGATTTGTGTGTACTTTAAATTTTCCTGATGTTGTTTTCATATTTTATTGTGTTCTCCCCACCTTTACTTTTAAGTGAATCCTTTGCTGTTGTTGTTGTTGTAGTGATATAATAATTTATTCTCTAACCATGGAGGTCTTAATTTGGAATGAACTTGCTTCTTTAACACTAAATCACTTTTTGTTCTTGTCCCTCCAATTAATTTTCACCCACAATTATACTTATGGTAAAATAAAGCAGAACATTTTGGAAGTAATTCAAGTGTTCAAGCACTTCTTTATTTGATTCATCTTTTTGTGGTTTTCATTGTGGTTTAGTGGTAGTTACTATTTACAAACATCATTTCTTCTTAAATTCCCTGCACGTTTAGCTAATGTTTTAAAATATTTATTACTGTTGAAAATACACTTGAAATATTGTGTCCTATGATACAATTGTTTAGTGTAAAAACCTGGTCAGTAAGGACCAGAAGTCAAGTTTCTTAATATTACTTTCTTTTTTTTTTTTTTTTTTGAGTTGGAGTCTCACTCTGTCACCCAGACTGGAGTGCAGTGGCTGCTCCCGGCCACCGCAGCCTCGACCTGCTGGGCTCCGGCGATCCTTCTGCCTCAACCTTCCAAGTAGCGGGAACTATAGGCATGCACTACCACGCCCGGCTGATTTTTTTGATTTATTGTAGAGATGAGGTTTCGTTGCCCAGGCGGGTCTCGAACCCGTGGGCTCATGCAATCCACTCACCTCAGCCTCCCAAAGGTGCGGGATTACAGGCTGAGCCACCAAGCCTGGCTCCTTAATATTACTTTCTTATTCATCCTGGAGTGATGTGAAATCACATCAATATTGTGGCCACTCACATAATTTTGGAAGATGAAGCTATAATTTTTCAGCTGTCTCATTAATTTTACAAAGGCAGAATGCAAACCAGTTGAACCAGATAATAATTTGTATAGCACAAAATAGACATGTTTTCTTTTTTCTTTTTTTGAGGTAGAGTCTCACTCTGTTGCCCAGGCTGGAGTGCCCAGATGGCATGCTCATGGCTACCCCAGCATTGACCCTGTTGGGCTCTGGGGATCCTTCCACCTCAGCCTTCCAGCTAACTGGAGCTACAGGCATGTGCTACCATGCCCAGATCATTTCTTATTTATCATCGAGATGAGGTCTTGCCAAGTTGCCCGGGCTGGTCTTGAACCCCGGGGCTCAGGTAATCCACTTGCCTCATCCTCCCAAAGTGCTGAGATTACAGGCTGAGCCACCGAGCCTGGCCGACATGTTTTTTAATGAGTATAATTTTAGTTTGTGTCATCCCAGAATTTAATGTGCAGTACTACTAAGAAATTACTAAACAACTACTAAGCAGTAATTTTTAAACTTTAAAAAACCCACCTTTAGTAAAATTATGTTGTATATACTGTGCAACATACAAACAATAGAAAGGAATAATTTGTAAGCCATGCTCAGACTCTTGTGATGCAATCTGACATTGCCTCTATGATTCCATTTTATTTATTTTTCAGATGTAATCATGAGCCACTAAGCTGATCTCATGACCTACCAATGGGTAGCAACCCAAATTTTTATAGCCACTTTTCTTGGAGATATAAAAGTGTGATATATCTAGACCAATGAAAAGTATCAAAAGAGAATCCTTTGAGTTATATTTTTAAAAGGGAATTCAACCATTGTAGGAGGATGCTTTCTTTGTCTTTATTTCTGCACAGGCACCAACCAACCATTCTTGTCTTTAATGATCTGACAATATTACAGGGAAAAAAAGACCTTCATGATTAGGAGAGGAAAAAAAATTTTCCTTAAATTTTATCAAAATTTCTAAAATCTATATGTTGTGAAAGAAAAATGTAAATGAACAAAATGGGCAACCTTGGGAAGAAAAAGTGTAAGGGGGGTTTATTGAAAAGAGGAAAAGAGAAAATTAGTGGGAATGAGGAAAGTGATTGATTTTAGTGCCACAGACTTGGGCCAATGTCAGAAATTGCCTCTTAAAGATCATATAAAACTTTATCTTAACTTTGTAGAGGAGTGGGTACTAATTAGTTGATAATGCCAGCATAACCTGATGTTTACACTTCTTAAAAGCCAAGATTTCTCCACTAGTCTGTTACTATGTGGATTGACTTAGAATATTTACATCCCAAAAAATCCAAAAAAAG